CGGTCCCCTCCTAGGTCGGCGGTCCCCGTCCTCGGTCCCCCTCCTCGGTCCTAGGTTCTGGTCCTCTGTCCCCGGTCCCAGTACCGGTCCTCGGTCCCCGCCGCGGTCCCTGTCCTCGGTCCTCGGTCCCCGCTGCCCCTGCCGAGCTGCACATGCCGTTTCCTAAGCCGTTGCTCTTTTTTATGCAGAAGTGACTTTCAGCTTTCGGAAGAACGTGTCAATTTGTATTGCCTTAAAATTCGTTTTCTTACACACATCTAAAAACAGAAATAAATGGCAGTTTGCAAGGCAGTTGTAAGAGCTGATTTGTAATGTTAGCGTACTCCTTCCCCTCCCCAACTTTCCATTCTCCTTTATCCCGATAAATGAGTGGTTTTCTAATTAGAGCATTAAGAGGGTGCGATCATTGTGTGTGCCCTGCCTTTATCAGTAAACAAGCTCTTTAACTCTCACCTTTGGCCAGGAGCATTTCTTTCCCGTGGTCTAAAACCACTTCCTTAAGACAAGGTGTGTATGTGTCGGGGGGGATGATCTAAGATTTTCATTTGACATATTGGAAATAGGAAAGACCTGGTTAAATAGACCTGCAATGCTCTATTTCATAAAATAGAGATATTTTAACTTAGTCACTGTCAAAAATTAAATAATTAAATTTAAGACTGAATGTAGGAAAAATTAAAATTTTAAAGTTGGCAATGCTCTATTTCATAAAATAGAGATATTTTAACTTAGTCACTGTCAAAATTAAATAATTAAATTTAAGACTGAATGTAGGAAAAATTAAAAATTTTAAAGTTGGTAATATCTTTCATATATCTTAAATGCCAATAATTTGGCAATAATAGTGCTTTTAATCTGAAAACACCACTAGAGAAAATTAGCCCCATTATGTTAAGTATGGCTACTATTGTTTTAAAACTGTTAATATATTGGGCTATTTCTTTAATCTAAAGTGTTTCTTATGCATTACTACAAATGATAGTTTATGATATGTACTCTTTTCTATTTGATGAAACATTGATATGATAAAATGTAATGTCCATTTACTAGATTTTCATGGGATAATAAACTGTAGTATTTTTATTACTCATTAAGAAATGTGCTGCAGATATTAGATCATTTTTCTAAAGGGCACATGCAACAGGTCTAGCATGCTGGTTTTGAATACTGAGAAAAGTATGTTCTTTGATTTTCAGATTCTTAACTTTTGTTCAGAGGGTAACTGCAAAATGCTCTTTTAGCCCATAATGCTTTGACTTTATACAGTATCAGATAGTATGCTTTTTAAAGGTAGGTTAGACAATATATACTTTAAAGCTCTCCATTAATAATTTTGTTACGGTGAAACTGTTATAAGTAGGTAAATCTGTGTTTTAAAAAGATTAGCGAAAGACATCCTGTATATTTGAGCAAAATAAGTAATGGATCTGAGTTTTACAACTTGATTTTTATGAAAAGCACATAACTTTTGGAAAGTTATCCCCATATATGATAACTAGGGAAACACTTGGTCCATCATTTAGACTTTCAAAATCATGTTACTTTAAATATACACATGAATATATATACATATATTTATGTATATTTGCAGATATATTTGAAGGTTTGAATGTTTAGGAAGTATGAATTGGATATGGCAGGATTTACCTTCTATTTTTAAGAAAGATTGCAGCATGAAGACTACATTCTTATACTGTTGATTTTGGCTCACTCGTACCAATTTACATGCACTTCTCTGACAGTGTGTATCTAATATTCCTTGCCTCCAAATAAGGCTAATGATACCCGTCTTAAAGAGTCTTACCTGTCTTAAAATTCATGTGGATTAAAAATTGGCATTTGGTGTTTTTGTCAGATTTTTGATTTAAACACTACAAAGAATGGTAATCTGACCTCTGGGAGACAGTGCAGTGATCTCTACAGACAGGTTGTGTGTTGAAGTACCCATGGCTCTGAATTATTTTGCTTCATTTCTATTCCTTTACATATGGATAAGTCATTGTGATGGGAGAGAAATCCCTATATGCGTACCCTGACTAGCTGTCAGATTGCCAGGCTTCTGTGGCTAACTAGCTTTATTATTTTGAGTAAGTGTTTTAGGTATAAGATCTAGTGTCCTCTACAGTATGACAATGAGTGGACCTTCCTAAGGTTGCTTATATTTCCAGTATGGAATTTCATGTGACTCAGCACTCTCACAGTGTCATATTTTATCATTCCAGCTGCTTTTGTAACCCTATATTTACTTACATGCTTACCTCATTTTTGCTGGAGTATTTATTCTGCTTATTGTGAAAGAACAGTTCTAATTTGTGGAAGCAATAGTAAAATGGAAAAGGAGGTAGTGTTAAGCATGAATTGCTACAGGCTAGAAGATGTGATAGGAGTGAAGGCTCTTGGATTGGATTCCTTGTAGAAGCAGGGAAGAGCAGATAGAGATGTGTCCTGTGAGAAGGGTTGACTGGAAAACTTTCCTGATAGGATAGCTTCAAGGAGGAACCTGCAGAACTGGATATTTCCTGTCCTGCCCCTTGGGCCTCCCCCGCTGAGCAGCCACCTGCACAACTGCTCGTTTCCAGAAGCAACAAGCTAAGGCTCTCAGGAATGAGTGAAGGTGTCCATTCAGATCTTAGAAGGTCTCTGGAAGAATCTGAAGGAAGAAGAATCCAAGAAACATTCACGTAAAACCAAAACCCGAGATGTTCATTCATGGGTTTGCACCCTGTTAGCCATTCACTTACTCATTATTTCATCAGACTTGAAAGCTCACGCACAAGTTCCCAGGCTTGGTTCTAGTGGTGAAAAGATAAGCAAAATGGATTCTTTCTCTAGGACTTCACAGTTCCATGTGTAAGGCACAGATTACATTTTAGTTACTTTTCATTTAAACGGAGCAACTGTGGCCATGCAAAGATTCACAAGAAGGAAAGAGGCAGTTAACTAAGGCACCTTTACATTAAGCTGATACTGTCTCTCAATGGTTTATTTTCTATACCCTACTCTCAGATCTCCTTCTTTCATTTTACCTATGGAATTATGGCAACTTAGTCTTAAATTGTGGGGCAGCCTTCATGGTTATATAGATTTAAATTGTGGGTCAGTGGCTATATAGGTCATAACTGAGGGTGATTCTGTAGCATATAATAACAGTGTTTATGGGAAGTGTAGACAATTATAAGTTTTAGTACAAGCAGCTTGCTTTCAGTTTTGGTGATTACTGTTATCACAGATGTTTAGTATTCATGAAGTTCATTGTTTTGTACATGTGTTGGAATAAAATAATGTTATAAGACAATGAAAATAAGTTTGATAATATTTTAAAAGACAATAATTTAGTAAATTTAAGAATATATTTTTTATATTCCATTAAAGACAGGTTTATAGGATCCTATACAAGGAACTGACTTGATAACATGCCTAAATAATTACTTGTAGAATAGTCAGTTCTATAATCCCATCGATGGAGTGTTGCATAACATTAATTGAATGGAAAAAAACTAGACTAATGTAAAAATCTGAATCTTTTTGCAAATAATCTATTTCTATTCTGTTTTCTTCTATCTTCATATAGAAAGATAGCACTTAGGAATTCCTGATAAAGAGGCACTCAAAATGATTTTTCTCCTGTGGAAGTTTGTAATGATGTTTATTTTGTATTTTAAAACAGGTATTATATTATGCAGCTAATAGAATTAACCAGATAAATTATTTTAATTTTCTGTTTAAGTGAAGCCTTCAGAGACACACCAAGATGTTTATTTTTTGTAATCTTTTTCCTAGAGGAAATTGCCCCAACTAAAAATCTAGGGTTTTTCCCCCCAGGGTGTGAGGGGTTTCTGTAGGATGGAACTCTCACCTGACAGATGAGCTTTGTACTCCTCAGCTACCCTACCAGTCCTATTAATTCATTTTTAATAAAAAGATTACTTTGTTCCTACACTGCCATTTATAATTGATTTTCTTTTATCCTGAGTCTTTGGTTTTTGTAAGTATTGTTTCTCTGCTTTCTGTTATACCTTATATCTTGATCTTATCCAAATCTCTACACCATTAGGGGAGTACTGAAAAACATAATATTATTGAAAGGTACAAAAATAAAAATTTGAAATCTGTACCACTAGTGGGTAAATTTTGAGAAATAGAATTAAAACCTTTGGAAGTTTATTGTGATCATTTCATATTTCAGGTGCTATGGAACCATGGTTTCTCTATTCTTTCTCCTTTTCATTATAGAGAAACATACCTTATCCCAAATTAAAAAGTGAGACGTACCAAACAAAACAGTGTCTGATTCTCTATATACTAACAATGAGGAATATTCTTTTAGATGTAGCTTTATTGATAAAGAGTATGTTATTTTAAAAGTTAACATACTTACTTTGACTTTTGGCTTGATATATGGAG